GCCGGCCCGCACCGGCGGCGCCCCTAGTCTGCCTGGCAACAGAGTCTGATTGGCCATCCGGGGAGGGAAAATCCAAAGTTGGTCCGATTTGAGTCCAGAGGGGGAAGTCCGGGTTAGGTTTCGGTTGAAAGTGGGGTCGGCTGGGACTGCGGGTCCCTAGAGGTTCTTCTCTTAAAGGGACCGCAGGACGGAAGCCCTGGAGTTCGGCCGCCCCTGGAGCCTTTTCCTCTTCTGCCCTCTGCTCCCACGTCTCAGTGTTTTCCGGCTGATCGTCAGTGCTGCCGGAAGACAATCACGGGGTGACAGAATGACCAGAAAATCAGGGGTGGTAGTGAGGTGGGAAAGGAGCCACCCACACGCCGAGCGGATGCGAGCCGGGGAGCGGGAAGGGGACTCCGGGCCTTCTAGACCTCTGGAGGCCAGTTCCACGGCGATGGAAACGGGAACGCGGCCTCTGCCTTTAACGTCTACGACTTGACAGTCACCCCTTTGCCTGGTTAGGGTCGTCGCACTGGCGGTCGGCGCGGTGGCCTGTCCGCCCAGGGCGGCGGCTGCGTGCTGTTGGACTGCGCCTGTCTGGGCTCTTGGGTGCGAAGCGCACGACTTCTGCAGAACACCAGCAGAGCAGCTGCAAGTGCAGTCAGCCAGAGCGAAAACTACGATTCGACACAGCAATCTCGACAATAATGTTGCCGAAAACTTGGTCTTTGCTGTGCCCCTGATATTAATCTAATAATAAAGACATAATTTTGAGATAAAGGAAAAAGAAGTTTTATTTCTTAGAAAAGGTGAAACCCAGGTGACAAATAACAGTCCCTTTAAAAAGTTGTTTTAATGGCTGTATTTCAGTTGTGCTCTGTCCAGGATCATAATTTATTTGTAGCTTTGAGAGAGAGCCATTTATAAGGTTTTGTTTTAATGAGACCTGTTGTTTTTAAACATAGATGATTAGACTTTGTTCTATGTCAGGATATTAAAAATTGACCTTAGTGCGGGGCGGGAGGGGGGGGCATCTTAAAGCCAGGCATCATAGTGCATGCCTGTAATTCCACCCGCTGATGCAGGAAGATTGTGAGTTCAAAACCAGCCTCAACAACTTATCGAGGTCCTAAGCATCTTAGAGAGACCCTGTCTCAAAATAAAAAAGGCTGGGGATGTGGCTCAGGGTTCAATCCCTGATAACAAAAAAACAAAAAACAAACTAAAAGCATCTTTAAATAACTTTAATGGACTCTGCTGTTTCTAGCCAACTTAATCACACAGACTTTTTGAGACTTACCATTAATAGATCTTTTGTAACTCATGGTAATACTCTTTAACTTGTTTACATCCTTTGTCTTGTCCTCTCCTTTTTATCTTGGACTTTATTTGTTTATTTAGTGGTTGGTAGATGTTTATTTCATTTATTTATATGTGGTCTGAGAATCGAACCCAGTGCCTCACACATGGCAGGCAAGTGCCCTACTGCTCTTGGAATATTACTTTATCATACAGAATACTTTCTCTTCCTGAAACATTTCTTTTTTCTTTCAATTTTTCTTAAGAAAATATATTCCCATGCTTATAAAGTTCTTATACAGGGGCTGGGGATGTGGCTCAAGCGGTAGCGCGCTCGCCTAGCATGCGTGCGGCCCGGGTTCGATCCTCAGCACCACATACCAACAAAGATGTGTCCCCCGAGAACTAAGAAAAAATAAATAAATGTTAAAATTCTCTCTCTCTCTGTCCCCCTCTCTCACTCTCTCTTTAAAAAAAAAAAAAAAGTTCTTATACATCCCTTTTTCCAGTTGCTAGTATTTATAAAAATTTACCTTTTGAGTCAGGTATGGTAGTGTGTGCCCGTAAGTCCAGCAACTGGGGAGGCTGAAGACTGGAGGATCAGATTGCAAGTTCCAGGTCAACTTCAGCAACTTAGGAGGCTGAGGAGGCCCTGTCTCAAAAGAAAACAGAAAGGGCTAAGGATGTAGTTCAGTGGTAAAGTACCCCTAGGTTAAGTCCCCAATACCAATGAAAATTATCTTTTGAAAAATCCTTATGAAACTTCTGAACTTAGACAAATTACTCCTTTTTAATAAGACAAAATACTTCATGCTTTTTACAGTACTTTACAGCTGGAGCTTTTTGTACTGTTTGCAAATGGATTTATAGAACTTAGAATTTGAATTCTTAGTAACACCTGGCTTTTTAGTGAAGACCCAGAAACAGAACACTCTTAAACTATTTTTCTATTTACCAACAAATTATAAAAATATATTAATAGACCCCAATATATGTTGTCTTACAGAATTCAAGAAGCCAATAGTACTTGTTGATGTTTCAGAATTATAACTTTGCACATTAATCAGGTGTCTCTTCTAACAAATATAGTTATGAGAATCCCATTTATGTTAAATCTAATTTACCCATTTAGTTGTTATATTTAGGATTCCCATGAAAATCAAGATATTCGACAAACCTACTTAACATTTTAAGTCTTTTTCCTGCTGAAGAAAAATCCTAGAAGCAATAGGTATTTCATTTTAAACATTTCATAGAATCCAACGCTCTATTGATTGTTTGACTACATAGAGAAATGTGTGGGTTAGTACTTTTTTTCTCTTTCCACATTTTTAATTGATGCATTATAGTTGTACATAATGATGGGATTTGTTGTTACATATTGATACATGCATACGATATAACAATATAATTTGGCTGAAATCCCCAGCACTTCCTCCCTCCCTCCCTACCTCCCACCACTGGTCCCTTTCCTCTATGAACCTGCCTTTGAAGAGATGTTTCTTTTCCTTTTTCCCTCTATAGCTTCCACATAGGAGAGAAAACATACATCCTTGACCTTTAGAGTTTGGCTTATTTCGCTTAAAATAGTAGTCTCTAGTTCCACCCATTTTCCTACAAATGACATAATTTCATTTTTCTTCTTGGGGAGCCAGGCATGATGGCACACGCCTGTAGTCCCCAAGGCTTGGGAGGCTGAGGCAGAAGGATCAGGAGTTCAAAGCCAGCCTCAGCAACTTAGCAAGGCCCTAAGCAACTCAGTAAGACCCTGTCTCTAAATAAAATATTTAAAAAAGGACTGAGGATGGAACTCAGTGGTCAAGTGCCCCTGGGTTTAATACCCAGTACCCCAAACAAACAAAAAGCTCCATGGTGTATACATACCACATTTTCTTTATCTATTCATCTGTGGATGTCCACCTGTGTTGGTTATTGTGAATTGTACTGATGTAAACATGGTATGCATGTATCACTACAGTATGATGACTTTAGGATTCTTTAGGATAAAAGCTGAAGAGTGGTTCAGCTGGGTCATGTGGTGGTTCCATGCCTTGTCTTTTAAGGAGCCACCATACTGATTTACATGGTGGTTGTTCTAATTTACAATCCCACCAACAATATAAAAAATATTCCTTTTTCTCCACATCCTAGCTTGTTTAGTAATTTTAAAGACATCCTTACTCTTAACCATTTAACCAACTTAAGTCATGTGAACTGAAAGGCATTTGGATCCATTCTTTATTTATGAGTGCTCATTTCTTTATATGATTTATAGATATAAGTGTGTATGTAGACATAACTAGGTGGGTACACATATACATAAAAACCAAAAGAAAATGAAGATTTTATAGCTTTTTTTCCCCAAGTATTAGATCCCTACAGGTTGGAGACAAAAGAGCTGCAGATATTGAACTATATAGATTGTCAGATTTAACCCCTTAGAAATTAAAATAGAGCCTGTCACAGATTTTTACAGTATGACTCAGACATGGGAAGGACCTGAGCAGTTGAAGATGTTAGGAATAGAGTCTATCAGTCATGGTGGACACTGAAATCAAAAAGATGGTAGCAAATTCACTCCCACCATTACCACTGTTCCTTCTTCCTCCTTAGGACTCTTCAATGGAGAAGATCTCTTTCCTTTTCCAGTGTATTTGAGAGTTAACCCTTGAATAATTGGTCTCTGAATAAAGACAGCAGGAAAAACAAAGGGCTAGCAACTCCAGTTAGACAAAACAGGACTATTTGGTGCAAGACCAAAGGTGAATTCACCAGAAAAACCTTGAGCTTAGAAAAAGAGACTTTTAAAAAAATGCGATGGTCATCTATGCATGTATATGTCAAAATATACTCTACTGTCATGTAGGTCTAAAAAGAACAAATTAAAAAAAACGACATGGTAATAATTACCCTAGTAAAAGAGCACATAGAAGATCTTTATCAGACCAGAGTGTAATTTTGGATCAGGTTAGAGCCAACCCAGATATTTAAAGAATGTGGGAGCCCACAAATTCCTTAGTAAAAGATTTTTAAGAAAAATAATTTGGGGCTGGGGTTGTGGCTCAACGGTGGAGCACTCACCTAGCATGTGCAAGGCCCTGGTTTCGATCCTCAGCACCACATAAAAGTAAATAAAATGAAGATATTGTGTCCCACTCCAACTAAATAATAATAATAAT